GCCAGGGCAGTCGGCAAAGATAAAAGGGAATAAATTACAAGACTGCGGAGAAACGGGTGTTTTCTTACGCTGATGTCTAGAGGGTAAATAAGTGCACTCTTCGGAGAGAGCGACTGGACTACACAGACCGAAAACCTTAAAATCTTATGTAGACCTTGAGCCAGGAACTCCGCATCCAGGCATGTAAGGAAGAAAATCATCGTCTCTGCTGCTGAGGTCCCTGCAGCCCTTGGCCTGCGACTTGGTATGAAAGAGATGACACAGAATGGACTGGCCCAGGGCCCTTGCGAGCAGATTTATTTGAAAGCCGTGCCCTGCCAGCATCATACCTGGCACCTCTCACTGGGATAACAGTGGAAACTGCCGCCTTTGAGGAGTGCTGCTGTCGACCTCTTCCCCGCAAGCGTCTCTGACTGCGCAGACAGCCCTAACGCAGCCAAAGCTGCTCCTACAACCCGCTTCCGACCCCCTCTGCCTTTCTGTGTGTGTGCAACCAGCCCATAACAGTTCCTTTCTTCTGGCAGCGGTGTTGCCGAGTCTGGGCATGAGTGGCGGCCCTAGGTCTTCTGAGGACACTCTGCAGTCATCGTCCTGATATCTTTCGGCTCCCAGCCAGTGCCAGTTAACTCTCTCCGTCCCCGGCTTCCGTCTGACTGGCCACTTGCTGAGAGGCTTCCGACTCCCACACCCAACACAGGGTCACTGCAAACACAGACCTCCTACACCATGCATGTGCTGTCACCGTGACTTGTCCCCTCCCCAACCCGGACATCCATGGCCTTACTCATTCTATATTCTTGTTCTTTTCTAACAGGGCTGCTTAGAATGGCAAAAAAAAAAAAAAAAAAAAAAGGACATACCCAGTTATCCAATTATGGAGGTTCAGCTACCTGTAGTATGATCCATTGATACAATGGGATATTATTCAATGAATGAAACTGATGCAGTGGCAGATGCTGCAGTAACAACAGCGACACCCACCATACGTTGAAAAGAGACAAGATCAATAAATCTCTAGATTATAAGATTACAGTTGATTGTCCTATTTATTTTCTGTTAAGTCTCTATTTTATAGCTTTTTAACATGGATATGTATTCATCTGGAGAAATAACATTAGAGATAAATTCAAAGCGGCATGTGAAAAAAGTTACATGTTCTTTAGAGGTGTTGCACATCAATCCTGGATGTGCCCCAGGAGCTTGCGCCTGCTCTACCTGCAAAGCTGAATTTGCCCAGAGCAGTTTGTCTCCAGGATTTTGCAGAAAGCTGGGCCTGGAGAGGGGATTTGTCACCTCAGCTGTGACAGTGATGGTCCTGGATGGATGGTTTTCAAACCTTTAGTCCCCAACCAGGAAATCTTACATAAATAATTCCTAAACAAGCTTTGTGTTGATCTGGCTGAGTAGCACCTGCAGCCTCTAAAGACCCCAAACCTTCCCTTCCTCCAAGATTTCACAGCCGTCATTGAAGTCATTTTGTAGTTTCCAGAAGGACAAACTGACAAACAAGTAGGAGTTGGTTCTAAGAAGGTGACTTCCATTCCACAAACAGATATGTTGCTTCAGGGTGTGAAATCCAACTGAAGTTATTTTCATTTCCCAAACACACCCACTCACTTATACACACAACTAAGTTCCTTGAGGCCTGACCTTCCTTTGATATTACAAGGCTCTCTTCCCCATGTCCACCAGATTCACTCTTTAGTTTTTCTGACCTCCAACACCTTAGAGTAAGTTTTCCTTCACCTACAGCACCGTAGTATTTTACGTATGTATTCTATTATACCATCTTGTAACATGATATCCAAACTGGACTACGTATACTATTGAAATAAATCCTGTAGGTAGGACTGAAAACTCTCACCCTAGCCATGAACACCGTCAACTTGCTGTTTGTGGTTGCTGATGTATACAAGAACTAAGGCATTCTGGGTAGTGGCATAGAGGGAAATGAATGGAGATCATAATTGGAGTTTAGACAGTGCAATGTCCATTGTAATGGCTGGTGTGAGGAGAAGCTCTGAGTCCCCATAGGGTGAGGAACACCTTAAAAGAAGAAATTTGTCTCTATTAGACTCAGGTGCAAGGCCCAGGAAGAAGCAAACATGGTAATTTCCACTGGAGAAAAATGATCGTTACTAGCAGTCATTGAAGTCCACACAATCTTTTAGTAGAGTACATTGTGCAGATAGAAACCTGTGTTCCCAAACAAAAATCATTATTCCCGTACTCCAAGACTTCTCTAGAACTCCCTGGAAGTCAGTATTCCAACTAGCAGAAGAAAGGTAGTCCATCTAAAGCACCAGCAGAACATTAGCTCATGTCCCAAAGACAAGTAACCTCAGGACTGAGGATGGACAGAGTTCAGAGCACAGACTTTCACAGGCAGGGTGGAGACAGCATCTTTGCATACAGGAATGACGAGAGCAAAACAGAAGCACTCAGTGATCTGAACCAAAAATTCAGAACACTGCTGATAACTTGAGTTCTGGGTTTTAGAACAAGGGCAGGAACAAGATGGAAGATGAAGAAGAGACAGAGGGCTAATCATTAATAAGTCAAGACTCGGCTAGCACACTTGAGATGGAAATGCTGGGGTACACTCATTGTACCCGCAGGCCAGGGGCTCTTCAAATTGGATGATTCCATTGTTGTCATCTGTTCACATGACTAGAAATTAATATCATTAGGCATTGTGAATATCTGTGAAGTTAGCATAACTCAGACATCTCTATGCAAGAAAAATATTTCCATGAAGATTCACTGTATGTGAAGTGATGCGCTTAGGAATTGTTGCAGGATGATCGCTTGAAACTGAGGTGTTTTCACTAGTAATAGAAAGTCAATCAAAAGGATACATTGGGGTGGCTGGGGATTTGGCTCAGTGGCACAGCACTTGCCTGGTAAGTGCAAGGTCGTGAGTTCAATTCCTGGTACTGGAAGAAAAACCAAAAAAAAAAAAAAAAAAAAAAAAGGATATCTTGGCCCAGCACACTTTGTATATAGAATAACTTATATTTAAAATTTAGAAAAGGAAAAGCTTCATACAGATAAAATTTTGTTGCTTGGCTTTAAGATGGTGAAGATGGCACAGGAACGTCTATATATCCTAGCATTTTGCGTCCCCTGAGTTTCATCTAATCTAAAGTCAAAACTGCTATGAGATAATGAACATGCTATGCATGCTGAACTACTTGGATGGAGCGCAGCATATACTTTCTCCGCATTTTGTAAAGGGAGACAAATTTTCTAAATCTTGCTCATCAGCCATTCCTACCCTCCTTCTTTGATTCTAAAAGTACCACATGTGCTGACAGCGTATTTATAGCATATTTGCTTGGAATCAAATTTATACATTAAGATTTGTATGTTAATGTGTTTAAGTTCCATGGGATAAATGAGACTATCCCATGGACTCAAAATTTATACAGTTTACTTTACTAATATGCATGTTAAAAATGAGGGTGAGAGACTGAATTGAAAGCTTGCATAAAAATCAAGTGCATGAACCATTTATATTCATAAAGATATTTTTATTAGACTGGGGTTTTGGCAGAGCTAATTAAACCAGATAGTAATTATCCTCAGTTTGGGCAGAAAGGAATTCAAGGAGGCCTTTTAGGAAGAAGCAGTTATACAAGATGTTTTAGAACTTTCCTCATTGCCGGATTCAGGAAAAATTTCCCTTTAAAAATCCAACTCATCAGTAACAAAACTAAAATGTCATTAGCTTCTTCTAAAAAATATATATGTACTTTTTAAAAAGTAGAACTTTTCACTTGAAGAGAAAGTTTACATTAATAGAGAAAATCTAAAATCATCAAAACCAGTCTTGCAGTTCTAACAAATCTGGAGATGTAGTAAAGGGTTTAGAGATTCACAAATCTCTTCAGTTTAAGACAAAAAACATTTGGCTCTGGACAGCAGTTGTACCTTGGGAGCACTTTTTTCCTTAACAGGGGCCCCTGACTGTCACCTCACCTGTCACCTCTGTTGCACTAAACAAAATAGTTAACACCTACCCAATAACAAATACAAAATGAGGCACTTAGATTTCCTTGTGGTCTCCAACTCAGTCTTGTTTTCAATTTGAAGAGTAAAGTGATAAGAGGGTTGATTCTTGGCCCACAAATAAATGACTGGCTCTGTTCATTGTCCCTGTCACTCTGAAATACCCTGGGCACCTTGTTGGGAAGTGATCTTACAATGTCCACCCATTTCAGATGCACCACATGACAAAATCTTAGCCATACAATAATTATATAAATATTGCAAATTAAACACAAACTATCACATATTAAATAAAAGTTCAAGGAATTTATAATTGCATAAATTTATAACAAATTTAATTAGAATAATTAAAAGAAATTTACAATAAATTAAAATAAATTTATTTTTATTATTCTATTATACATTTATATGCATAAATTTATAATAAATTTAATTAGAATAATTAAAATACATATTTTAAGGTTAATTTCCATTTAATATCAACTGCTCACTTTGGAGGAATATGACCTATCGTGGTTTTATTAGTGTGATTTTTGAATTTTTTATAATCCACAATTAATTCATATAATTCTCCAGGGCACAACTATAATATTCAAAGTATGCTACCTATAACAAAGTTATCTGAGGTATCACTTTATTCATCTAAACTTAAAGACTTAAGACAGTTACCACAAAAGTAGAAATCTACAATAATTTACTTAGGTAATTTTTTTGCTAGGGTAAACATTAAATTTTTGGTATTAAATATTTGATAGTTTTATTCATTCATCAGAGCTACCAAAATGCCACTAAGAAATAAGAACAACTGACTATCAAAATAGGTTTTAAAATAGCTATGTTTAGAAAGCTTTGTTGTCAATCTTCCAACAGTAATGTTATCCCTAAGAGAAGATATGGTGTTATTAAACATGCCATCAGATAACAGAGTGGCAAAAGAGTGAAAGACTTACCAAACTTTAAAAAAAATTTGTTTTTAGAAAAATACTTACTCCTTTCCCTCCCTCTGAGAGGATATATCCTGAGTTTTTCAATGATGTCAACCACGATCAAGGACAGCAGAACCAGAGACACGGGCAGGTCTGGTAGGGAATCAGGTAATAAATCAACGGACCCGTTGCTGCTCTTTTGCACCTGTTTTTAGAAAACCATTTGGACTCATTAAATTCTTGTGCTTACCTCACTTAAAAGTTTTTCAATACTTTGGAAGCAGTGCTAATTAATTATAAGTACATTAACTAAAAAATGAAAAGCTTAGTTTTTCAGCTTCTTGGATTGTAAATGTCACAAAGTAATGAACCATTTCTTAAGATGCAATAAGGTTTCATCTAAGTGGAAGAGTTTTCAATTAAAGACAAAGCTTAGTAGATGCATACAAACACAGAATAGTAGGCACCTGGTGACCATGGAATGGCTAATTCCTTTCACCTGTTACTGTTTTGGAGCGTCTGGCCTCAAAGAGAAGTAAGTAATGGTGGCTAGGGCTTTGCAAGGAGGGAGAGCGCAGGTTAAACCAGGCGGGCTTTCCTCTTTCAACTTCTTATGGTATCTGCAGAAAGCTTATGCAAGTATCATATTAATGGGGAAATACTGAAAATTTTCTCTCTGAGGTCAGGGATCAAGACAAAGATGCCACCAGAACCATTTCTATTCAACATTTTATTGGTGACCTTAGCCAGTGTAAGGTGTCACAAGAAAGAATTGAAAAGAAAGAAAAACAAAACATGGTTATAAACTGCATGATTATATATGGAGAAAATTCCCCAAACTGTATGAATTATGTATAAATAACAAGGACAAAAATTTAGAAGGTGAGATATTTTTAAAAGATACCATTCAATGTAATGTCAATTAATACTTCAACTTTTTCTTCCTCCTTCCCTCCCTCCCTGTCTCTGTCTGTCTCTGTCTTTGTCTCTGTCTCTGTCTCTCTCTCTCTCTCTCTGTCTCTTTCTCTCTCTCTCTCTTTCTTTCTCTCTCTCTCTCTCTCTCTCTCTCTCTCTCTCTGGGAATTGAAGCCAAACCTTTCTCACTGAGTCACATAAGCTCTTTACAAGGGTTTTTTTAAATTTTGATACAGGGTTTGCTAACTCGCTGAATTGCCCAGTTTAGGCTTGGGTTTGGGATTCTCTTGCCACAGGCTCTCAGACTCCTGGGATTATAGGCATGTGCTAACACACCCAGCCACATTTCAACTTTTCATGGAACATGATGAGCAGATTCTAAAATATGTGTGAATTTCAGAAGAAAAAAAAGAGAATGTGCTCTTCTGGTTATGTAAAACCATTACAAAGCTACAAAAATTGAAACAGTGTGGTGTTTGCTCATGCAGGAATAGAAAACTAGGCAATGAAGATCAAAAGCCCAGAAACAAATCACACATGTGCACAACTGACTTATAGCAGAGGTAAGAATGCAGAGACATGGGCAGGACAGACTTTCTTAATAAATGGTACCATGTCTGTTGAGTGTTCTTTGAAAAAACAAGTAAGACTTGATTCTCAACTACACAGCACATACAAGTGTCCTTTCTAGGATTATTGTGCATCTAAATGAGAACAGAAAGACAATGTCCCTCCAAAATATCAGAAGGGGGAACATCCTTAGGATTTGGAGGTTCAGACTCACAATATAATAAAACGTTTTCAAATAAAGGGCCAAAAGCAAAATCCATAAACAAAAGAAATTGAGAAATGCAACTAGTACTAAGTTAAAAATTTCTGTTCACTAAAAGGTACCAGGAAGGATATGAAGGTAAGCCATACACTGTGGAAATACATATTAAAAAGAAGGGACTGTAATATAGAGACAACACTTTCAAATTAGTCTTTAAGAGATAAACAATCCAATAGGAAAATGGGCAGGATAAAAAGATGCTTAACCTCACTACTTATGGAGAAAATAAATTTTAAAACTACAATGAGACTCAGGAACACAGCGACTAGAATAGTTAAAAGACAGACAATGTAATTGCTGGTCATGATGGGGAGAAAAGGAAACACTCATTTTCTGCTAGTGGAGTCTTTACTACAGAAATGAGAATAATCTCTCTAGAAACTCCACTGGCATCAACTATTAAAGTGGAACATTTGACTATCTTCCAACCTGTCAATTCTATTCCTATGTATTTACCCAACTGAAATGTATGCACATGTGTACAAGAGACACATTCCAAGGGTGGCATTAATTCTAATGGCCCAAAATGAAATAAATTGAAATGCACATCAAGAATAGAACCAATAAATTGTGATACCAGGCAGGGGGTGTAGCTCAATGGAAGAGTGTGTGCTTAGCATGCATGAAGCCATGGATTTGATCCTAAAATGAAATGCTCACCAACAATGAAGATGAGTGAACTAAACTATATATAAACATGCAACATAATCTCACATACATTTAAATAAAAGAAGTCAGCTATAAATTATACCACGTACATATACATACACATATAAAATTTGATTTCTTCTACAAAAAATTAAAAAGCAGGCAAACTGTTCTGTGGTCGAGTTCCCTTTGGGAAGGAGGAAAAGGTAGTCACAGGAAGGAGCCGTAGGTAGAGCTGGCGAGGTTGTACTTTGTGGCCTGAGTAGCATCTGCCCAGGGCTTGCTCCATAGTCCTTCACTGACTGTGTTTATGCTTTCTGCATGCTTCTGCTGTGGGTTACACTTCAGTGAAAGGCTTAGTGAAAAATTAAGCAAAAAAGGAAGGAAAAGATGTAAGAAGGGATGAGCTATCACAGAAAAGAACCAAAAAGAGCTATCAAATTCCATGCACACACTCACTGTTCCTTGAGAGGTTGTAAATTGAATTTTTAAAGCTCTTGAGAAGCTCCAAGCTACCACTTTTTTATTTCCCAACATTTCACAAATTAATCAGATTAATAGAGCATTCTTCTCTGACCTTCTGGGACAATAAAGTTTTCACAGCCTATTAATTTTGCCTATAAAAGTTCTGGCCTGTGGACACACACCAGAGTCCTTTGGAAGCCATATTTAATCAAAGCATAAAGTAGCTTTCAAAGAGCTGTCATGTCATGTGAAAGGAATTTGTCAGTGGATATGTTATCAATGAACTTAAAGTTCAAAAGGTTATTCCTTTGGATATTGTCGTATTCCATTAGAACTGAGAACAATCATGAAAAAAATCAAGTTGGTAGAAGGAACAAATGTAGATCAGTTTTTGAATTTCTTACTTTTTTATTACTCTGAAATAACATCCCCATCTTGCCCACATACACACAAGAGTAATGACTTTTTTAAAAAAAATTGAATGTGAGTCTTGACAATCACAGAGCTACCAATGATCTCAGCACTTTAGATACATATATTGCAATTTGGAAGAAGATTGGATTCAAGAAATTTTAAGAAATGTATTGGGTACAGTGATGTCAAATTCCAATAACAGAATTCTAAAACCTCAAAATTTTGCAGCAGAAGAAATCAAAATTCCATACCTCAGTGACTGCTATAGAAAAGCCAAAGCTGGGAAGTGTAGTGAGCACTACACACATCATCAGAACAGGTCTCCTAGCAAGGGAGAAAAAATAAGCAAAAGCAGTAACATTCAAGATCCACAGTTCCTGTTATATTTTGCTAATTTTGCAGTTACTGTTCCATTCATCTATAGTTTTTTAAGAACCCAACTGCTTCCCTATTTCCATTTCCCAAATGTTTGAGCATGGCGAAGAGGAACACATGCAAAAACCAGAACTGTTTTCTCGAACAAAGGGGTGAGAGATTCTCAAATGATTAGCAAATCCTAGACTACTAAAGCATCCAAGCACAAGTTAAAGGACATTCAACATTCCTACATTTATTACTTAGAATTCTACTCATGAGTCGGGTTCTAGTAAGCTACTGGAAAAAAAAGGTATGACTTTCTCAAACTAGAGTTCACCCAGGCTGTAAAATTGATTTTCCAAAAATATATTCAGAGCTAGGCAGAGTAGCACATGCTTGCAATGTCAGCATTTAGGGAGGCTGAGACAGAACGACTGCAAGTTTGGGTCCCTGCTGAACAACTTAGAACAAGACCCTGTCCCAAAATGAAAAATAAGAAAAGGGCTGGGAATGTAACTCAGTGATAGAGCGTCCTTGGTGCCTAGAACTGAAGAAGAAAAAAAGGGAAGATTAAGAGATGATAAACTATAAAAGATCACTTAAAGTAAGAACACTTGGACACTTTTGCTGGAATCAAAACAAATGACATATATAAAAAGGCATAATTTTTTGAACTTATTATTTTGGTATCAGGAATCGAACTCAGGACCTTGTGCTTGCTAACCAAGGCACTGTGCCACTGAGCTATATCCCTGGCCCTGAACTTATTTTTAGACCACTTACACATTGTCTGATCAATCAAATAGTGATTAAAATACGATATGGTGGTACTGTATGACAGAGAAAATAGAATATTTAGCTTCATCCACTGATGGGAAGACAACAGATGTTCAAAGATGTTCCATAATGAAATATTTACCTCCTCTTTCATTAGTCAAATGCATTATTTTAAATTTTTTTTGGTATTTTAATGTAATATAGGTAGATATTAATAAAGAAAATGTAAGTGAGCACTCTTCTTACTTCTGTAAAAAAAAAAACAAATTTCATAATAAAATAGAGACTACCGGTAATGAATACACCATAATCCTGAAAGAATGGCCAAAATGTTGCCACAGTACAAGTCATAGACAAAAAAGACTATCGCTTACAAAAAAAGAAACAAGGAGACAATAACATAATCCTTTCTTTTTAATGAACTCAGAGAAGCTAGTACTATAAATGAAACAAATTACATTTATATAGAAATACAATGAAATAGAGAATTTGAGGAAGTATTTGAACACCTCCCTACCTCCTATTTCTCTATCTCTGCTGTGCTCTTTATTTACACACATATATATTTTGAGTTTCTTGTATAAGAGAAATCATGCAACATTTGAGTTTGTGTGTCTGACTTATTTCACTTAACTTTATGGTCTCAAAGTGCATCCATTTGCCTACAAAAGCTTCAAGTTTATCTTTATGGCCTTGTGTATAAACAACACACTGGCCTTATCCATTCATCTCTTGAGGGACATACACACTGTTTTCGAGACCTAGCTATGACAAATTGTACTGCTATAAACATGGGCATGCATGTGTCCTTTTATATAATCTGCTTCTAAGGACAAGAATCACTGTTTTCAAATTTTTAACAACTTCTCTCTGATTCCCCTAGCCCAGGGCTATCTTAGATGCTGTGAGTGCAGACATAGGTTAGCTGGAGCAACTGCCCCTTTCTCTTACCCAGACCTGGTCAATACCAGTTATGACGGGATTTAAAACTGGTACCTTGGATTCTTTGAGCCCAAATCCAAATTCCTGCAGCATAAGACTCCCAGAGGAATATCCCGCAAGCCTTTTTTCCTCAACTGGACCTCTAAGAGAGGGACTGCTCCTGGCCCTCTTTAACTAAATTATCTTCCTGGATTACGTTATCCATTCCTGCGGCTTCAAACACCACCCACTTCTCCCTGGCTCTCAAGTGTATGCTGGTCTTTTCCCTGAGCTCTGAACTTGAGCACCAGCTGGTGTCATCTCCCCCCGGATGGCAAAAAAGAAATGTAGACCTAACACGTCCAAAAGGGAGGTCAAGTTCTCTTCCATACCTATGACAACCCATCATCTGATCCTGTCCGATTTACTAGCAAATCCATTCTCTTCTCACACAACAGTTTGTCCTTTATTACTGCTCATCTGCACTTCCTAACTGGTTTCCGTTGCTACTTCTACTCTGGCCTAGCAATAATGTCTCCATATTGTAAAATGGAATTTTTATTTTATTTTATTTTGGGGGCTATTTTTTGAATCAGGGTCTCATTACACAGTTCAGGCTGGTCTTGAACTTACTGTGTAGCCCAGGCTGGTCTCAAACTCACAGTGATCCTCCTGCCTCAGCCTCCTGAGTGCTGGTATTACAGGTGTGAGCTGGAGTCATATTTTTATAATGTAAAACACATCATACTACCCTGCTCAAAAACCTTCAAAGCTGCTGGTTATAGTGGTACATAACTGAGGGAAGCTGAGGCAGGAGGACCAAAATTTTGAGCCCACCTTGGGAAAATTAGCAATTTAGTAAGACCCTGTCTCAAAGTTAAAAAATAAAAGAATAAAATAAAATAAAATAGACCTGGGAATGCAGTTTAGTGCAAAACCCCTGAGTTTAATTCCCAGTTCCAACGACAACAGTACAACAATACCCTCCAATGGTGAGTGGGGGAGGAAATGGGCAGTGTTGTTTAGTGCACACAGAGCCTGAATTTTGCAAACGAAGGATTTTGTAAGTGGATGGTGGTGATGAGCGCACAGGGAAGTGAAGGTCCTGGATGCCACTGAACCATACAAAAAATGGTTACAGTCATAACTTCATGTTATGTTCATTTTACTATAATTCTTTTAAGAAATCCAGTGGCTGTGCAGTGTGATTAGAACAAAACTAAAGCTTATTATTCCAGCCTGCAATGGTGCATCTCTTCCCACTTCTTAACTCCAGAAACACTGGCCTTTGTCATTTTGTCTTCGTGTTAACCTGGCCCACCTCGGTCCGACACTGTCTGTTCCCATCCTCGGGGCTTCCTACATATATATTCTGTCCGGTTCTTTGTCGTCCTCTGTTTCCATAGAAACATGAACATTAGAAGAGGTTCTGGCGGAAGCTCAGAAAGGAAAGAAAAGAACTGCAGAGAAAGCTTCTGTCTCCTGCAAAACAGATATATTGTAATGGATAGGATGCTGCCAGGAATATGAATGTTATAGATGCTTCTGGTGTTTAACATGGAAATGAAGACAAATATTTTTGGAAATGGATCCTATTTGTAAAAAGACAGAAAATGGAGCTGAATGGTGCTCTAGCAGGTAGAAAAATAGAACTTGGAAACAATGAACTCAGACCTGGAGCCGAGTGTTCCTGAGCAAAGTGTTATGGCACAGTCTGTTTTCCATTGGTTACTTCTAGTAAAATGTGAGGGCAGAGAGATAAATTGCAGAAGGAATTGTGTAGCAAGAAAAAGAAATGAGAACTTGAATATTCACAAAATATTTAGCCTATCTGTAATGCAAAACAGGACAGAACATGTTTAGAAAAGATCACCCAGATTCTGGTTCCTGGATCCAAGAAACCCCTCCCCTAGCAGACTGCTGGCTTGGGAGGAAGGTAATAGAGAGAGGATGGCATGGAGGGGGGACCCTTGGGCATGTGGGACTCCAGGCAGGAAAGATGCTGGTAGAGATAGTTGGATGCAAATCAATTATACAAAAGGAGAGAAAAATGATGCTGATCAAAAGGAGGCATAGATGCTGGTGCTACAACCCCAATTTGTGGAGATTTCCTCTGCAAATCACAGGGCAGGGCCATTAGGTACAGCCAAAGTGTTGGAGCTGCCACCTAGAGCCCAGACAATAGAAATCCAGCCACAGACCATTATTCTCAAACCTTAAGACTTCATGAAAATTTCCCTCCTAGGTTTTGAACTCTCTTGAGACCCGTGGCTCCTATTTGCTTCCCAATTTCTCCCTTTGGGAATGGTACTGTCCCCCTTACCCCAGGATTCTGGATCTGGTTTCACAGATTCACGGGTGAAGAGGACTTCACAGTGACTTCTGGGACTTTGAGTTGCTGATGTTGAGACAGGACTTTGAACTTAGAATTGACATTGGAATGATTAAGATTTTTGATGTTGGGGTGGACAAATCTGTTCTCCATGTGAGAAGAACATAAATGGTGAAGGGCCAGGATGTGAAATCTATGGGTTGAATTTTTTTCTCCTGAGCAGTTATATTTTAAGATCTAAGTCCCAGAATATACAGTAATGCCATTTATGCTATAAAAATAGCATTTTTATAAGAGTCATCAAGTTAAAATGGAGACTTTAGAAACAGACATGCACACATGGAAGACTGTGAGGTCACACAGGAAGAAGTAGTGGGAACATGGCGGCACATACCATGGCGAGGTGTTGCTACACGACAGAAGGTCAAGCACTGCCCTCGATCCAGCAGAAGCCAGGAAGAAGGCACGGAACAGATTCTCCTTATGTCCTTCAGAAGGGACCAACCTTGCTAGCACCTTGATCTCAGATTTCTAGGCTCCCGACTTTGCAGTGATACATTTCTTTAAGTTATCAAACTTGTGGGACTTTGTGACAGCGGTTCTTGACAACTAATATGAATAGTAGCATTTATGCGATTAATATCATAGATATAGCTTTGAGAGTTCACTCACGCTGCAACTAATGTAATGATGTGCTTACAGCGTAGATCAGCTAGGAAAAGAACTTGGGGCATGGCATATTTCCCTCCTAAAGAAATGGGCTAAAAGCTACCAACACCTTTCCGTGAGCATTGACGATTAAGTGGCAATCAGAAAGACTCTCCTAAGCACGTGGCATATGAAGAAAGAATGGAGCTGGACCACGAGGGGTTGAAACTTCCCAGTTCCTTCGTGAGGAAACATTCTGGCCCTGAGATTACTCATAGAGGAAGCACGG